ATTGTGCCCATTGTAAGTAGTCAGTGTTTATATCATAAAGTTTATATTAAGTCCATTGTATTCTTTATTAATCTTTACAAATTGGTGCCGTCTCTTCCTGTTCCAACAGTACGTGATATCTGTCCACACCTCATAGTCTGCCTTTCTTTCCATGTTGATTTTTATTGAACACATCTGTCTAAGAAGCAAGAGTCTGAAAATGCTAGCTTAACTTGTCACGTGTTACAAATCAGATCTTCAATTAATTTGGCCGAATCAGATCACTTAAAGCTGTTCACACCAAGAGCAATAACTATAATGAGAAGTATTTTAGCATCCACACCAACAGACGATACTGTTCTGTTTACTGTTATACACACTGCAGTTACAGTATGTTGTTGTCTGCCATTTAAATGCTCAAGCTCTTTAAAGTCTGGTGGATTCTGATTGGCTGTCAATGTTTTTATTGTTCATCAGCTGGAAAAAAATAATTGTTCTGAAAGAGATTCCAACGATATTGTTCCTCTGTGCCATAAAATGTTAACTCTGAAATGTTCCTTTTCATTCTGTTAAAATTACACACAAAATTCTGCCTTTCTCTGCCTATTTCTCTTCATCTTATTCCTTTACTCCCTCACTCACTGACACATTCTTTTATGCTCTGTTGTAAGGTAGAAACTGAGAGTTTGCATGATGGCCTTTTCTCAGACTCTGAATCTGATGTATACAGATGAACTCAGGAACCTGCTAGAGTTGCCAGGGAACTTGTGCTTGAAGTATATAATTATAACTGCTTAATTTATGTTTAAACAACAATAATAATTAAACATGGGGTCAATAAATATTTTCTTGTTTTACAGCTGAAGACCAAAAACACAAAGAAAATCAGTCACAGCAAGCCAGTCAAACCAGTCCTGATGAATGAGGAATGAACATGGCCTTCTTGTGCACAAACAGAAAAGACAGAGAGCTGAAAAGTTGCACATTTCCATTGGTATGTCTCCATTCAATGCAGTTATGTGTGGTACAGCATTGATGTTGATCTCTCAAAAGACTCTTCGAGTCAAATCATTTTTCACATATGCATCTTTTTATAGCTCCTAGAATGAGCAAATCAGCTGTGCATCATCTCTGGGATTTGGGCAGAAAATGACTGAATATGGTGAGTACTGACACCTGCACCTGTATTCACCAACACCATTTCTCTGGAGTTAATGTTGACTTATTGTTTTTTCTGTTTGTTCTGTTTGTTTTGAAGCCAGTTGATGAAGTTATCAATTCAATGGCCACCAAGTGCTGCACTTCTACCTGAACTACCTGAACATCTGCTGTGAAGACTGCATTCTTGTTTTGAGCATTTTAGTTTCTATCAAGCATTTTTTGTTGCATCCCAGTCACGAAGATCTTGCTCCGTGAGCCCCTAAGACATTAAACGTTAAGAGTTATTCCCTCTACTCATAAAAGGATAATGCAGTGCAATTATTTTATGTTTTTCAACCAAAAACCCAACAATTAAGACCTAAAAATACATGAATTTGACCTTTCACTGAAATGCTATTTTTTATTCTAAATCAATTGTATGCTTAGAAATTCTATTCATTTAGATTTAATTTGATTTGTCCTTACTTGATTGTTTTGTGTATAATTATTCATGTTTTCATACTCAATTTCTTTTAAACTGTCACCTCTAATAGCCTCCCACTTAACTTAATTTATAGAGCTCTGCACACATGTGGGTGCTTTAACACACACACACTCTGTTCCAAAAACCTAGTGATCTTCCAACCTAGCCAGTATTTTTAGGCATCACTGGTGCACTCCCAATATAACGGCTGTTCCATAAAAAAATCCTAATATTTAGTCATCCAGATGTTCATGTCTTTATTTCTTCAGTCGCAAAGAAATGAATATTTTTGAGGAAACATTCCAGGATTTTTATCAATATAGTGGACTTCAATGGGGACCAACGGGCTGAAGGTCCAACATTGCTGTTTCAATGCAACTTCAGAAAGCTACACAGTAAACAGACAAAGAACCAACCACAAGTGACCTTTCCAACCATGAATCTGTAATGTGTGAAGTCATAGACACGCATCGCAAAGCTAGTGCAAGATGAGCATTTGTGGTTAAAAGTATATAAATTTTTATTTTATATTTTTTTTAGAAAATGACAGATCGTTTCATTAGACAAGACCCTTATTCCTCGGCTGGGATCGTGTAGAGCTCTTTGTAGCTGCATTGAAAGTGCAATTTGGACCTTCAACCCCTTGATCTTCATTGAAGTCTACTATATGGAGGACAATCCTGGAATGTTTTCCTCAAAAACCTTAATTTATCTTAGACTGAAGAAAGAAAGACATGAACATCTTGGATGACATGGGGGTGAGTAAAGCATTAGGAAATTTTTATTTTGGAAGTGAACTAATCCATTGGACAGTTTGTTGTGTATTTTTGTCTTCATTACAATATCATCTGTTTAGCTCAGCAACATGCTAACACATTCTATTCATGTAAAGTGCTTTTGTGCATTGCAGTTAGGATGCTGCTTAACACGGGAACTGATGTGTTGTTGACTTGAGTGTCTACACTGAAAGTCACACTGTTTACTACTGTTGTGTCAACAACAATTAATTCATATGAGCTATTTTAGAATAGCAAAATGATTTAACGTATAACACTAGTATTTTTATATCACGCTTTTAAAAATAAAGGTTATTGGCATATACGGTTATTAACGATATATACAATATAATTTCAATAGGAATCCATGTGATATGGAATTTCACACATAAGGGCGAAAGATTACATAACAGGTTCAGGATGGACACGTGAATTTGCTGTGTTGACCAACAGAAAGCTGCTTAGTTTGAAAGAGACGTCTCTGTGAGCTGTCATTTTTACATTGCTACACTATTGACACTATACAATGGACTTTTTTTGCTGCGTCCCAATGTGCCTACTTACACTATACCCTTAATGTATGTACTTTTTGGTGAAGAAAAAGTATACACTTTTCAGTGTGTAGTAGAAGAGTAGGCAAGATTTGGGACATATTATCACGTCATACAATTGCGTCTTTAACGGACCGCTCTGTCGCAGTTACATGCACACTCATCTTGTCACAGTTAACATCCTCCATATTTCATTTAATTTAACTTCCTACAGCATGAGAGAGAAAATAAGTAGCACGTTGATCTGCCAGCCGTGGGTCTTTATGCAGAGAACTCTGCTCATATTTTTGTTGCATAATAATGCATTTAAAAGTTAATGGCCAAACTGATGTTTATGAAAGTTCAAATTTTTGTTGCAGATGAAATATAACAGAGATAATATTAAATAAATATGTATAATAATATATAACATTAAATGCTGATTATTAGTAACTCAAACTCCTTTATCTAAACCTCTCTAGTTAACCGTCGGTTGCGCATATCTGTCATGTTTGTAGTTTTTTTAATGCTTTTTATTTGAGTTTGTAGTTTTGAACCGAATCCTTCGCCAAAGTGCAATGTATTGTGGGCAATATTAGCCGTTAGAGTGTGCACGGATCCACACTTCAAAAATCTACCTGAAATAGTATACCGATCTGGGACTTTTGGCATACTCTTTTCAACATACTATGCTTTGGGACACACTTATTCTAATCTCACATACTATTTAGGATGAACATTGAGATGCACGGAATATGTAGTCTCGTGTAGCCAGACCTTCAGACTGACAGCTGAAGGTCTGGAATTCATGGCAGCTTCTTTGTCAAACAACCAATCACAGTTAGTTTCATTCGCAGCACGTTTCGGGGTGTGGAAATGTTGCCTCAATAACAGAGGGTAACTCTCGGATGTATTTGAAAGATTCTGTGCCGCAAACTTAAATATTTTACATACTTTCAGAATCCAGCGTTTAGTTGATCCTGATAAGCGCTCGTCGTCACAGTTATAAACATGACGGCTTCTTCTTTTGTAGGGTTTGGAGTCACAGCATCTTTGTTTCCAGCGGAACGTCAAAGAACTTGACACACACGTCTCCCGGAAATCCTGTATAATTCAACCAATCCGATGACGACTTCGAAACTCCTGAAGTGTTTCCACTTTTGTGTGCCTTATGCATCAGACGTTCAGCCAGCGGTCTGTGTGCGTGACGTCTGAGGCTGAGAC